CTTCTGCCCGCCACCTTCAGCACCAGCTGAAGAAACAGCACCCTGGCCACTTCTCAGCATCTCCAGGGAAACACCCCAGAAGCCAGGGGAAGATGCCTTCTGGGTCCTCTTAGAAAGCAGCCCACACATGTGCGGTCCCTTCCCAAGAGCTTAAGAAAGCAGGTTCTGCAGGGCAAGCGAGGTCAGAGAATGTCATTTCCAGAATACGCAGCTGAGGAAGTACAACTGCACCTTCCCCTAGGAGCCAACCTGGGACAGAGGAAGTCGGGGAGCACGCCCACAGGGAGGTTATGAGAAGGCAGGCTGCCACCAGCACATCCGGGTGTTTCTGAACAATTGCAAGGCAGGAGTCGTGGAGCCCATAACTCCAGGTCTACATATTTCTCCTTCACATGAGTCTCTCCTCTACCCTTAGAGGCATCCAGGCTGTCTGAGAACCAGCTCCCCACAACTGGAGCCTATACCATATCTTAGATTTTGTCCGAGATAGACTGGAACCCCACAATTTTCTCATCTACCCGATTTGCAGGTGGACTTTAAATTCCTGAATCCCCACTCCTAAGCCCAGAACAGGCTCGCTAGTGTCTAATGAATGAAAAGAATCTATTCATCTGCTCACAATTTTCAGATTTAAGCACCTCTGTTTGGGTTTTAGCACTCAAAATATGCCAATGGTTGATTTTTCATTTAAAATCTTTTGATCCTTGTCTAGCTCTGACTAAAATCATGGCTCTAAACCCACACTGTCCAACAGACCCTTCTGCAGTGAAAATACCCTCTCTGTAGGCTGTCCAAGACAGTAGCTAGTAGCGACACGTGGCTACTAACGTAAGCTAACATAACTGAGAAACTGAATTCTTTAATAAGAGTTTCAGTTCATTTCAATTTAAATAGCAAGACATCTGGCTAGTGGCGACCATCCTGGGCAGCTCCCCAGAACTGTCCAGTTTGCTCCTTTTTACCCTCAACCTGAATGCAAATTGAGGACACGTTCTCCTTGGCTCTGAACAGCCCATTTCTCACTGAACAATGCTCTGAAGATCTTCTCGAAGCAAAAAGTCAAGTGCGTCTTCCATTTCCGAGCGCTTACTCTGTGCCTGAGAGCAGCCGTCTCGACGTGTCCCAGGAGAGGGGGGCAGGAAGCATGTCTCCAGAAAGGAAGCCAGTGCACCCAACCACTCCAGGGCGTGTGGGGTGGGGGGGGGGGTGCACACCAGCAGGGCCACATTTATTTATATCACAAAGTGTTACAGCTGTCGGCTCTGCAGCTGAGGAGCCGCCAGGGAACTGGACAGAAGTCAGCTTTGTCCGTGTTCCCTGGCACCTACTGCTGTTGTTTAAAGGATGCCAGAAGATGGGCGGGGGGCAATAGAGGGACCTCTGGGTAGGCAGACATGCTCTAGGTGTCATTAGAAAAAAAAAATTGAGTCAATTGCATGTTTGCACACAAACTGATAAGAGTGTCATTAGGTTATTCTGGTCCAATTCTCAGTGCTCTGGGCATAGTGACAGAAGGACCATCAAATAAGCACTTTGAGAAAAGCTGGGTGTGTGGCTCTGTTCTCAGTAGAATATGGCCATAGGAATCAGATTCAGCACCAAAGCTCAGAAAAGCAAGATCACCCCCATGCTTTACATAGGCACCTAGGACCTGCTGATCAGTGACAATTTCAGTTCGCAAAAAATTGGTAGAAATGCTGTTACAAGATTGAAGCAGTGACAGTTCTGACAGCACATCCACATGCTCTGTGATAATGCACTGGGACGGAGGGACATCTCTGAAAATGTGCTATAGATTGAATCTAGAATGTCCCCCACAGACCCATTTGTTAAAGGTTTAGTTCCCAGCTTGGCATTATTGGGAGGTGGTGGAATCCTGAAAAGGTGGGGCCTTGTACAAGGTCACAGGGGATGTCCCCTGAAAAGGGATAGTGGGATCTCAGCCCCATCCTCTCTTTTTGCTCCATGGCTATGAGGTGAACAGCTTTGCTCCTCCATGTACTCCCACTATTATGTACGAACACACCACAGGCCCCAAAGCAATAGGGTCAACTAGCTGTGAACAGAAACTTGAAACCTCCAGAATTGTGAACTGATACACCTTTTCTCTTTAAAACTATATCAGGTGTTTGTTATAGTAACGGAGAGCCAACAGGGGAAACCCTCAGCTCTGCTACCCAGTGCCCCTTCCAGCACATTCCCTCCCCTAAATCTAATACAACCTCTCCCCTGTAAAATGAATAATTAGCATGAAAACATGGTAAATAACCAGAGACCCAGTTAAGCTAAAGAGTAATTTCTTCCAGCTGGGTAGTATGACACACCTGTAATCCCAGCAACTCAGGAGGCTGAGGCAGGAAGACTGCAAATTTGAAGCTAGCCTGAAGATACAGGGGTTACTTAACATTTGTCATGGTTTCCTTTCAAAGTTTCAACACGCTATTTTCTTTTCTATGACTAAATTGCTTACCTTATTCATCTACCTGTGATCACATATTTGCCAGCACCACGTAGGTGTCTACGCTCTTCCATGACACAACAGCAGCCTTTTGCTAAACTACTCCAAAACCCCAGTGCTGGAATAAACTGATGCACGTCCCTAAAGTACACATTTGAGCTTCACCGGCACTTTGGTAATTCAATAGAGATGGCCTCAAAACCTCCATCCTCTCTGACACAGCAATTCTAAGCCCAGGGATTGATTTGAAGGAAATAATTAAGGATGTCCGCAAGGATTTAGTCATAAGGATGTTTAATAAGGATGTTTACCCCTGTTCTTGTTAATAATTGTGAATAATTAGAAACAACCTACGTGGCCCTGAAGTGGAATTAGAAGAGCCAGGGTTCAAGGACTGCCCCATAGTAAGAGACCATCAATCACTTCATCAACCAAGATTAAAAATTAGAGACTTAGGATAGATGCAGATTTCGCAGGACCTGAATCAAGAGAATGGAAATGAAGAATGGCAAAAACTAAGAAAATAATTAAGGCAATGTGGGGGGACAACATGCTTCAAAAAGATTTTATTAGAGTGCACCTGAGAAGCTACAGGAACAAGCACCCCAACATAAAGAGCAGCTGGCTCAGCATCAGACCAGAAAGAGCAGTCCCTCTGCTGGCTACAAGGCCAGGCCCCAACTTTATCCCCAGTTCCTCTCTACTATCTACCCAGAGTGCCAAGTTTAAAACTAAACCATCTTTTCCTGCACTTGCCAAATGTATTAACACAAAGCTTTTCCTCATCCCTTTTGTAAAAGCAAAGCAAGCTGAGCAACTTCTCTGTCAGGTGTGTCCTTAACTCTACCCACCTGTTCCCATCTGGAGAAATCTTGACCAGTGGACCCATGCAAATCCAGGTGAGGGTAGCTTGGCACCTCTCCCTCTAGCCATGAAAGAGCTGGAGAGCACATCAGGTAGCAGCACCTGCAGATTGCACCCAATGCCCTGGCTCACTCAGTTGCCTGCCCTTTCTTCAGCATCCCCTACCCAAAGCAGCCCTGCTGTTTTTGACAGCTCTTCCCACATGCCTAGTACCAAGGTCACACAGTCTGGGAGCCCAGCATGGGCTTCTGGGATGTGTTCTCCAACTGCTTCTGCCCAAGTTGTGTCTGTACCAAATCCAAAGCCCACAGTAGACCTGAAGTCTGGAGAACATAGCAGAGGCATTCAGTCTTTGTTTGAAAAGACGGATTTAGCAAATGTAGGAAGAAAAAGTCCAGTCAAAAACTCAGCAACTGGAGTAAATGTTGGGGTTGGTGGTATAGAACTAGATAACAGCTGCACAAGGACTTTGAAAACTGGTTTTCCTGGAGGCAGCTCTCCTAAACAGCATGATTGTTAAAGAGCCAGCTGGTCACAAAGTTCCCTCCTGCAGGAATGCCTAAGGACCCTCCATCTACACTCCACCCTTTTCCATTAGCCTCTGCTCAATCCAGAGCAGTGGCTCTCCAGCATCTATGTGAACGCACAAGTGACACTGCCACCCCTGAAGATGCTCACACTGCTGATTAAACAATACAATCAACCCCCTCCCCCCTCAATAGCTGTCACCTGGACCCACATGGAGGCATGATACTGAAAATTTAAGAGGGAGGAGCTGCTCACAGCCTCTCACTCTGATGGAAAAGTAACCATGGAGTGGTTATTTTATTCTCTCCCGTTCAGAGGAGGTGGCCAAAGAGCACCAGTCTCCTTAGTCGTCCTCCAATAGGGCTGGGCACTGAAACTCTGAACACAGCTGATGGTGCTTAATGAGAAGCCCCACCATTTCTTCTAACCCACCCCTCTGGACTGGGGAGCCAGGGTGCAACTGGACACTCTGGCCTCTACAAAACCTAAGCTCCTCTCCCAAGACACATTGTGGCATTTGCCTCAGATGGTACATGAGAGGATGACCCAATCCACACAAATTTTGTCACTTAGGGTTCCTCCCTTATTCTTCCCTACACGCCGGCGCCTCTCAGATCCGCTTCCACAGAAGAGGCTTCAGTCCACTGCGCCTATCCTGGAGGACCCCGCTGCCCCCACGTCCCCCACCCACCACACAGAGCCCATTCCCCTCACACAACTCCGGGTTACTGTTTCCTGCATGCAGTGGCGCTGGACAGACTTAAACTATCCCCAGAGTTGCCCTGAGGTCTCCTGGGGTTCCTGCGGAGTTCGGGATGCTCGGCCCCTCGGAGGCAGACGGGCTAAGTCACTTTTCGATCAGGAGGGTAAAGCCGAACCTGACAACTGGAAAGGTTCCCCCCGCACGCTGCACACTGGGACCCCCCAGGGAAGCGCCCGGCCCGGCCCCCTCCGCCTTGGGCGCCGGCCGGGACGTCAGCGGGGCCGGGACCGGGCGTCCTGCCTCCTCCCGCCTTCTCCCGGCCGCAGAGCCGCGCGCAGCGGAGACATTTAAATCGCCCCCTCGGGACCGCAGCGTGGAAGAGGCCGGAAAGGCGGCGACGGCGGCTGGCTCTGGGGCTGGCCGGGCCGGGGTCGGGGAAGCACTCACCAGCGCGTGTTGTCGTGGAAATGCTCCAGCACCGCGTAGCCAAAGAAGGAGCCGGCGGGGCCCTGGAAGCGCACGGGACGCTGCGGATCAAGGTTGTAGGCGCCCGCGGGGACTCCCGCCGCAACCAGCGTCAGGAGCAGTGCGCGGAGCCCCCCGGCGCCCCTCCGTGCCGCCGGGCTGCCCATCCCCAGCCGGCCGCCGCCCTCCCCTCTGCCCGAGAGCAGGGCGCCGAGCGCACGGGCCGCCGACGGCCAGGAGGCTCCCCGGGACTGGAGTGCTGAGCTCGGACACTGGCGGGATGCGGGCAGTGGGCCGGCACCGGAATGGTGGTTTGATCGAGCGATGAAAGCAAGCACTGGGGAGGCCGCGAGCGGGCGGCGTCCGCAGTCTGGCTGAGAAGCCTGCGCGCTGGGAGAGAGCGGGTCCCGGGCCGGGCGGCGCTGGTCTGCAGAGAGGCGCGCCCGCGGGGTGGGCGGCCCGGACAGCCCGCGGCAGGACGGCGCGCCAGTGCCCCCTGCGGGCCGCAAGTCCCCTGCTCACCGCCCTGTCAGGGAGTTAGTCCCGGGACACCCCTGGGCGTCCGGTGTGTTCCGGATCTCCTAGGCGACCCATCCCTAGCCGCTGCGTGCTCTACGGGTCCTTCCATCCCTCTCAGTCTCACCCTCACATTCAGGACCAGAGCAACGCGGATGCAGGACAGGGGTCTGTTATAACCCTGCCCATCAGCTGATCCTAATAACGTGTAGGCAACTAGCACTCAAGGAATGTCAGGTGTTAATAACCACAATTAGCCACGTGGACACCAGCAGAGCGCCGCTGCGTGCTCTACTCGGTCTCCTAAGCCAGTGATTCCCTAAACGTGGTCTCGGGACCCGCAGCACCGACATCACCTGGGAGAGAATTTGTCAGAAATGCAAATCTACAGGTCCCAATCCAGATTTGTCGAATCAGAAGCCAAGCCCAGGGGGTTGGGGGTCTTGCACTGTGTGTACAAGCGCATGTGCGTGTGTGATTGGGATAGAACACACATGAAGTTTATCATCTTAACCAGCTGTTGTACAACGAATACCACCACCCAGCTCCAGAACGCTTTTCATTTTGCAAAGCAAACCACCCATTAAACAATAACTTCTTGGGCTGGAGCGTTGTAGCTCCGAGATAGAGTGCTTCCTCAGCGTGCAAGAGCCCCTAAGCTTGATCCCCGGCAGGGCAACATACAAACAAAGAAAAAAAAAAACAGAAATCCCTCCCCACTCCTCCCTCCTCCCAGCCCCTGGCAATCTTCATTCTATCTTCTGTCCCTATAAATATAACTACTAAAATTTGGGATTCCTACTGAATTGACATTCCTCACTGTGAAGTTTTGCCACCCTTTCGTGCTTTCCCTACCTGTGCTCTGCTTTGGGGGGGGGGGCAGGTCATCGGGGTAACTGAACCCAGGGACTCACTTGTGCTAAGCACACACTCTGAACTTTTTCTTTCTAAATAGCCTATACAAGGCATTTCCTCATAGTGCCGAAAAGCATATTAGTACAAGGACCTTGAGATGGGGAGACGTCCCTGAATTTTCAGGGTGGGCCCAATCTAATCTTTTTCTTTTTTTAATTTTTTTTTAGTTGTAGTTGGATACAATACCTTCATTTTATTTATTTATTTTTATGTAGTGCTGAGGATCCAACCAGCACCTCGGCCGTGCTAGGGGAGCGCTTGCTCAGCAGCTGAGTCACAAACCCAGCCCCCAATCTAATCTTAAAAGCAGAAAACCTGTCCTAGCTAGAGTCAGAGATGTGAGGGTCAAAGAGATGATATATTGTGGTGTTTGAAGAGAGAGGAAGAAATCCACAAGCAAGAATGCAGGCAGCTCTAGAAGCCAGGAAAGGCAATATAATGGCCTTCTGAAGCTGCCTTACAGCTTCATAAAGAAACACACCCTTGAGACACCTTGAGTTTAGTCCAGTAAGACCCAGGTTCTGTTTCTGACCTCCAGAAATATAAGGTGTATTTTGTTGTTTTAAGCCAGTATGTTTGTGATTTTTGTTGTTATTATACTGGGGATTGAACCCAGGGGTGTTCTACTACTTAGCTATATCCCATTCTTTTTATTTCTTATTTTGAGACAGAGTCTTGCTAAATTGCTGTGGCTGGCCTCAAAGTTGCAATCTTACTGCCTCCACCTCGGTGTATCTGGGATTACAGGTGTATATCACCTCCCTGTTTCGTGATAATTTATTAGAGCAGCAATGGAAAACTAACACACCAACCTTCTATGTAAAAGTGTATATGTATGTTTCTTAAGGAAAAGAATTCATAGATTTCAATAGCTTATTCAATGATAAGGCAGTTTTTAAAAGTTTAGGAACCACTGACCTAAAACACCCTGATTTCTATTTAATAAACTAATCTCATTGGTCTTTGATTTCACAAAACTGCAGCTTCCAAGCCTGACTGTGTATCTGACTCTCAAGTAACCAGTTAAAAATACAGATTCATAAATACCACTCTGCGTTGATTTCTAGGGATGAGACCAGGAAATCTGTTATTTCATACTCCTCTCTGGAAATATGCTAAGTAATCAAGTTTAAGAAACACTGTTCTACAAGAAAGAGATTCTGAATTCTGCATTGTGGTCCTAAACATATGGCACCATGATGCTGTAGGAAAATCATAGGCATCCAATGAAGAGGATTTAAATCCCACATCTGACCAGCTGTGTGAGTCAATGAAACCAAGAGACTAATAAACATAAACCTAACAGTGGGCTGCTTGGGGCAGCAATTTTTAACTGTAAAATTCTGAACATTTATTAGTTATTCATATAATCTGACATCAGCAGTAAGCTCAATATTCTAGTTGCCAGAATAAGCTTTTCTGTCTCCAGGGTGACTGGCAAGAGAGCCATTCTATTTCAAACCTGCCCAGATAAATGAAGATTTGCTTCCTGGGACTATGCCTCCTGAAAACTTGCACCTATTCCATTCTTATCCAGTTTTCTCACTGAACTGACCCTTCAATGCTCTCCTTTCCTTTATAAAAATAAAGAACTAATCTGGAAACTGGCATGGTGGTGCATGCCTGTAATCCCAGCAGCAAAGGAGGCTAAGGAAGGAGGATCACAAGTTCAAAGCCAGCTGCAGCAGCTTAGCAAGACCATGTTTCAAAATTTTTTAAAAATTAAATAAAAAGGACTGGGGATGTAATTCAGTGGTTTAAGCACCCCTGGGTTCAATCCCAGGTACAACCTCCTCAAAAAAAGAAAAAACTAATCTGAAGTTTTTCTGTTAACTTCAGTGGGCATACACTAAACAGCATGCACTATTGACTCACCTATCACTAGCCTTCAGTTTCCCTAGGTACACTTGACTTCCGTGCTGATGAAGGCTGTTGAGAGCATCGTTACCACAACAGGGCAAAAATAATGGTTTTGAAACAGGAGCTCCCTCCCCACCCCAGAGCAGAAAGGAATATCGAAATGACTAGGGACGGAAACAATGTTGGTTTGTCATAAGCCTTGAAAAAAAACCTTAAGGTTAATTGGCCTATTTTTTTAATCCTTTATTTCTTTTTCTTCTTTTTTCCCCCTTGCTTATAAATTGATCAATTCTTATTTTCTTCTTTTTCTTTTTTTTTTTAATTTTTTTATTGTTGGTTGTTCAAAACATTACATAGTTCTTGACATATCATATTTCACACTTTGATTCAAGTGGGTTATGAACTCCCATTTTTACCTCATATACAGATTGCAGAATCACATCAGTTACACATCCATTGATTTACATATTGCCATACTAGTGTCTGTTGTGTTCTGCTGCCTTTCCTATCCTCTACTATCCCCCCCTCCCCTCCCCTCCCCTCCCCTCTTCTCTCTCTACCCCCCCTCTACTGTCATTCATTTCTCCCCCTTGTATTATTTTTCCCTTTCCCCTCACTTCCTCTTGTATGTAATTTTGTATAACCCTGAGGGTCTCCTTCCATTTCCATGCAATTTCCCTTCTCTCTCCCTTTCCCTCCCACCTCTCATCCCTGTTTAATGTTAATCTTCTTCTCATGCTCTTCGTCCCTACTCTGTTCTTAGTTACTCTCCTTATATCAAAGAAGACATTTGGCATTTGTTTTTTAGGGATTGGCTAGCTTCACTTAGCATAATCTGCTCTAATGCCATCCATTTCCCTGCGAATTCTATGATTTTGTCATTTTTTAATGCAGAGTAATACTCCATTGTGTATAAATGCCACATTTTTTTTATCCATTCGTCTATTGAAGGGCATCTATGTTGGTTCCACAGTCTTGCTATTGTGAATTGAGCTCCTACGAACATCGATGTAGCAGTGTCCCTGTAGCATGCTCTTTTTAGGTCTTTAGGGAATAGACCGAGAAGGGGAATAGCTGGGTCAAATGGTGGCTCCATTCCCAGCTTTCCAAGAAATCTCCATACTGCTTTCCAAATTGGCTGCACCAATTTGCAGTCCCACCAGCAATGTACAAGTGTACCCTTTTCCCCACATCCTCGCCAGCACTTGTTGTTGTTTGACTTCATAATGGCTGCCAATCTTACTGGAGTGAGATGGTATCTTAGGGTGGTTTTGATTTGCATTTCTCGGACTGCTAGAGATGGTGAGCATTTTTTCATGTACTTGTTGATTGATTGTATGTCCTCCTCTGAGAAGTGTCTGTTCAGGTCCTTGGCCCATTTGTTGATTGGGTTGTTTGTTATTTTATTGTCTAATTTTTTGAGTTCTTTGTATACTCTGGATATTAGGGCTCTATCTGAAGTGTGAGGAGTAAAGATTTGTTCCCAGGATGTAGGCTCCCTATTTACCTCTCTTATTGTTTCTTTTGCTGAGAAAAAACTTTTTAGTTTGAGTAAGTCCCATTTGTTGATTCTAGTTATTAACTTTTGTGTTATGGGTGTCCTATTGAGGAATTTGGAGCCCGACCCCACAGTAAGTAGATCGTAGCCAACTTTTTCTTCTATCAGACGGCGTGTCTCTGATTTGATATTAAGCTCCTTGATCCATTTTGAATTAACTTTTGTGCATGGCGAGAGAAAGGGATTCAGTTTCATTTTGTTGCATATGGATTTCCAGTTTTCCCAGCACCATTTGTTGAAGATGCTATCCTTCCTCCATTGCATGCTTTTAGCCCCTTTATCAAATATAAGATAGTTGTAGTTTTGTGGATTGGTTTCTGTGTCCTCTATTCTGTACCATTGGTCCACCCGCCTGTTTTGGTACCAGTACCATGCTGTTTTTGTTACTATTGCTCTGTAGTATAGTTTGAAGTCTGGTATCGCTATACCGCCTGATTCACACTTCCTGCTTAGCATTGTTTTTGCTATTCTGGATCTTTTATTTTTCCATATGAATTTCATGATTGCTTTCTCTATTTTTACTTATTTTCTTCTTTTTCTTTTTTTTTTAATTTATTTTTTTTATTAGCTACACATGGATCAA